CTTCAGTGTTGAGGTTTGAGAAACCAAAGTCTAAGTCAACTTTGTCTTTGCAAAATTCGGCGAATGAGTTTGATTTGCTCCCTTTACGTCTGTAAGAGTGAATGGGTCTTGTGTTGGTGCAATGACTAAGTTATTTTTGCTTGGAGTAAGTTCGATAGAAATTTTTCCTGCCCAGTTTGGCAAGTATCTTAAAAACCTGAAGATGAGGAAAGATGACAAAGGAACTCTAAGTTTCAATTTTACTTTGGTTACTGCTGCTGCAGTTTGTCCAGAAAGGTTAACATAAACTCCTGGAACGTTTAGGGTCAAGTCTTCTTATTTTCTCAATAGTTGCATACTGGTCTGTTTGTTCTCTAGCTTGTGGTTGTACTGAGTTTCTCAAAGCGAACCATTCATAGTTTGCCCATGTTACTGTTTGAACTAAGTCAGAGTTAGAATATATCTTATATCCCATGAAAACTTCTGGAGCATATTGGTATCCGACATAGAAAATTCCATTGCAACCTTTCTTGTCAGACAACTTGGCAGAAGGTTTTATTTCAATGTCTTGTTCCACGTATAAGAAAGAGTTGTCAATAGAAATTATATGAAACCTGTCGCAAGCAATATCTACTGTTGTTGAAGAACCTTCTCCAAACTCACCTACGTTTCCATAAGAAACAGCAGTTGTATATTCGTAAGTTCCAGGAACTATTTCTGACCTTCTAATGGCATTGTCGCATTCGTTATACCATTCGGAAACATTTCCATTCATAGCATCCAAAACTGTTGGCGTTATATTCTGAGCGGCGTACATTTCATATGAGTAAAAATATAGAATAGTTGATTTATATGTCATAATAGAACCCACTCCGACCAAGCTTTACTTTCTTCCTGACTGAGTTTTTAACTCTTCTTTTTCCTTCATTGCCCTCTGCTTGAAGTTGTTGCATCTTTGCATTATGTTCATCTAGTATGTTGCAAATTTCCCATGTCCTTTTTGCCTTTTGGCTCTGGTCGCCCATCTCAGGTAACCTATATCCTAGAAAGAGTTTGTCATAGTCTGTATTTGAGTCTTCGCGTATTGTTTGCATGACTCTTTCCTGAGTTTCCGGTTCAAGCTCTTCAAACAGTGCCTGTCCATATGGAATATGCTCGTTTCCAAATATATGTTTTGTAGCCATTCTGGTTTTCTTTCCATGTTACCAACTATATCTTTTGTGAATGGGAAAGCTTCTACCCAATCTTTCAGTCTTGCGTCGTTTATTTCTGTAGTTGGTTTTATTTTGTCAAGGAACATGTTTTTCAATACTAACATTTCATTTGGTACTGTCCATTTGAGTTTTCTTAAATATTCATCCCTTCTCGGTTCATTGTCTGCAAAGTAAGTTTTTATGACATTTTGTAAACTTTCGTTTGCAAGGTCATGTACAATAGGTTCTCTTCCTTCTCCCTCCCTAACTTTCTTTCTAAACTCTTCACCAAATATACCATCTCTATGGTTCTGTGTAGTTCTTTGAGATAAATGTTTTAGAACGTCAGGTGTTATATTTCCATCAGCCATGTTCATTTCATACTGGTCCAAAATATCTGCATGTTTCATATCTTTCAATGGCATTAAAGCCGCGCTGAAAATACCAGCTATATCTGGTTCACCATTCACTTCCATTGCGTCTACAACTTCTTGGAATTGAGGTTGTAAGTTTATGAACCACCTATCCGGGTTAGCTTTATGACCCCATCTCATTGTAGTTCCATCGTCTGCAGAAACAAAAGTAGGTTTGTTTCCATCTTGGCTAGGTTCTGAATGAACTTTAAACAATGTTTCATTTCTATATGTTTTCTTGAAATTTAACCTTTTATCTTCACCGAGTTCATCCGAAGATTGAACGTTAAATGCTCGTAAGTAAAAAGGGTTGTTGTATTTGTGTACATTTTCTTTCAGTACTTCCATTCTATGCTGAATATTTTCATCTGGTGTTGGAGTCTTTTGTATGTCGGCAACATTTTTCGATATTCTTCTACTATGTCAGCCGAATTTTTTTTAGACTCTTGGAAATATTCCATATTCTCCGCATACTCTTGTTGAGGGTCAAGATTTTTCGGCTGTTCCAAATCTTCATCTAGTTCTGTGAAGTTAGTTTCCAAAGGAGTGACTTGTTCGTTTCCTTCAGGCTCTTCTAGCTGTTGTTGCTGAACTATTTCTTCCATGTCTGGTTGTATCTGAACTTCTTCCTGTGGAGTTTCTTGTACCTCATCTGCTGGCATTTCATATATTCCGAGACCGTTTTTAACAATTTCCCTATCTACGTCATCCGCATTCATAAGCTTTTGTTCTTTCGTTCCGTCTCTATTTTTTACGCGTTTCATGACGAAAGTTGAATTGTCATTTAGCTCTGACATCAAATATCTCGGAGTAAATTCATCCATGTCATTTGGATGATATGCTATTAAATCATATCCCTTAGCGAGCTTGTATTTTCCAGGTTTGAGATTATATCCGTTTTGGTGCTGAGCCATAAAGCTAAATAGGTTCGGGTCAGTATTTCCATCCTTGAACTTTCCAATAGCTTCTTTATATCTGTCACTAAAGTCAACAGTATCTGGGAACCACACTCTTCTTTAAGCATTTTTAAGAATTCTTGGTTTCCTTGTTCTCTACTTCTTTTATGTCCTTGCTCTGTTTGTGGTTGTTGTTGTGCAGGGTTTTGAACTGTTGGTTGCTGTGCTGGTTGTTGTGTTGGTTGTTGTGCTGGTTGTGGTGGTTGTTGTTGTGCATTTGAACTGTTGTTGCTGTGTCCACCTGTGTCTGACGATGTAATGTTCTAGGTAGTCCTGGTGCAGGTGCTTCTCTTGGAGGGTTTGGTGGTATATAAGTTCCACCAGCTGGCACATATGTTCCATCTGCAGCGTAATGTCCTACCTGACTTTTCGTTTTAAGAAAGCATTTACTAGGTCTGTTTTGGTCTGTTGTAACTCTTTTTCTTGACTTTTCACAACAGTTGCTCTAACGGCGTCATAGGCACTTTGAACTGCCTGTCTCGTTGCTGCATCTGTTTATTTTCGTCATATTTTGTGCTACTTCTTTTAACTCTTTGTCGAAACCTTCAGACTTCAGTTTCTTTCCAGATGAGAAGTCGTTCACTTGTTTCACCTTACTATGAAGAGCTTCGAAAGCGTTCTTAAAAGTCAGCATTCGTTAAAGCTTCATTTGAACTGTCTTCATCCGCTTGTATTTTTGTCCTTATTGACCCTATGAGTTGGGCTGCTTTAGCGTTGGCTTGGGCATCTAACCAGTCATTGTTAGCTTTTATATATTCTGCGCTTTTCATTGCCTTTTGCATAGCCGCGTCGTTATTTTTACTTTCTTGTGCTAAGTTTTCATACTGTACGGTTTGGTTTTGCAACTGAAAAGTTTTTCTGCCTTTACATTTGCTTCAACTTCTTTTTTATACTCATCGCTATCCATATATGTCTTCAGGGCTTTTTGTTTTATCTCTTCATCTTTCAGTACTTTATATTGAGTAGTATGGTTTTTCAAATTTATGACATCTTGTTCCATTTTTGCTACTTCTGCTGCTTTTTCTGACACTTTTTTCGCATATTGCTCTGTACTTAGTTCTTTCAGTTGTTCTTCTTTCTTCTTTTTCTCTACGTTTAACTCATTGAGTTTCTTTGTGTGTCTGTCATATTCTAGTTTCTTTTCGTTTTCACTTATTTGCTTCTGTATGTCTATGTTTGACTTTTTGACATCTGTTATTTGATTTTTGAGTGAACTCAAATTCATTTGACTTTGAGGGTTATAGGCTGTTCCGTCTGCAGCTCCACCATAGCCTGCCATTTTCGCTAAAAGTGCCGCTCTTAAACCTCCACTCTGTGCACCAACAACTCGGTTTAAAAGCATAGGATTGCTTGACATTTGTTGCAACATAGTGGGTCATTCATCATTTGTTGTTGCAACTGTTGTTGTGGTGTCAGTTTTACTATTGGATGTTTCAATGCTCTCTTCCTCTTACGTATATTCTTACGTAGCTTACGTGGCATTTTAAGTGAAGTTAAAAGCGGTTTTTGACAGATGTTTTATTGTGACTTCTTCGTAAAGACTTTGTTGAGATTTCTTCGTAAATGAGTGTAAATGACCCAAAAATATATTTTAGGGTAGAAGGGTATATCTAACCTCTTTTCTAACCTCTTTTCTACCCTCTTGAATTTTCATGAATTTCTTCGTAAAGACTTTGTTAAGACTTCTTCGTAAAGACTTTGTTGAGACTTCTTCGTAAAGACTTTGTTGAGACTTCTTCGTAAAGACTTTGTTGAGACTTCTTCGTAAAGACTTTGTCAAGACTTCATCGTAAATGACCCTAGTAGTATATTTTTGGTGTAAATTTCATGAAAATTCAAGAGGGTAGAAAAGAGGTTAGAAAAGAGGTTAGATATACCCTTCTACCCTAAAATATATTTTTGGTGTAAATTTCATGAAAATTCAAGAGGGTAGAAAAGAGGTTAGAAAAGAGGTTAGAAAAGAGGTTAGATATACCCTTCTACCCTAAAATATATTTTTGGTGTAAATTTCATGAAAATTCTGAGTAAAATGACAGATGTTTATATGACACTTTCTCCGGTTTATAGGACCTCTCTCATATTCTAAACATCTTCAGGGCTAGAGGGCACGAAGTGCCTGGAAGCCCCACTACCTTTTTTTTTTTTTTTTTTTTTTTTTTTTTTTTTTAATTATTAAAATTTTTACTTTTCTAAGAAAATCCGATTCCAAATTTTGATTTCATTGATTTATTAAAGTTTAAATCTCATGGTGTTGCATTTTAGCTAGAACTGGAATTGTCCATCCTATTAATGAAGCTGTAATTGATCAATGTATTCTCGATCAAAAATTTTCTGAATAACAAAGCATCTTGGGATAGTAAATTGAAAGGTATGAGCCCAACAAGCCTATTGGTGTGTAAAAAGAAGATTTCAATTACAATGATAAAAATAAAACTTCGTTTTCTTTAGATAATTTTTTTATGGCAGCACCTGATTGGCAGTGTAAACCTAATATTCGTTTAACAAAACCTATCTCAATGCAGATGCCTAACAATCATCCAGGCGCTCCATTCAAAAACTATGATTTTCATGAAGTAAATCCTCAAGATTTTAGAAAACAATACGATTTAGTATACGATCCATGTGTTCCAGTAGCAACCAATGGACCAAAATTTAGTGGTGATTTTGAATGCGGCAATTGCGGACAAGTTTACCAAATAGGTCCAAAAGATTATGAAATTCACCTACTTCCTGATCCAAATGATCAACTTACAACTCAATGGTTCTTCTTCAAAGTTGAAGATCTTGAGCCAGGCGACTACTTTTTCGTTATCTGCGGCTTTTATCGCCAATGTAATCTTCATTATAAGGGATCGAAAGCGTGCGTTTACTCAGAGAACGATGCCAAGCAAGGAATTGGCTGGCAGCGCATTGGAGAAAACTTAAATTACTTCAAATGGAAAACAGGAAAATTCCCTGAGTGGGCTTTTTCTTTCACATTCACAGTTAAGCAAAAAGATACCATGTATTTTGCACATGCATATCCATACACATACACAGACCTCAAAAACTTCTTAAACAAACTTCCGCAAAAATATCAACCTTCAGAACTTTGTCATACAGTTGGCGATGTTCCAGTTCCTGCTATATTCTGGGATGCTGATATACAAAAGACTGTACCTATCGAAGAAATTCTCGCTAACAAAGGTAAAATTACTCATTCTCCACCAGAAATTAGGGTAGAGAACGTATCTGAGTTCTCCGAGAAGCTTGTTGAATTACTAAGATCATGGAAAGATGGCGCTCAGCTACCTACAGGCATCCAATACGAGAAGAAACCTGTAATAATCATAGTTGCTCGTACGCATCCAGGCGAAACGAACTCATCGTTCGCAATGGAAGGCCTTATGAGTGCTCTTTTCTCGGATTCTCCACTCGGAAACAAGCTTCGTGAGAATTTTTCATGGTTATTAGTTCCATTTATCAATCCTGATGGCGTTATATGCGGATTTTACAGACCATCGTTATCGGGAGATGACATGAATCGTGTTTGGCAACAGCCTGATCCACTTTTGCATCCTGTAGCTCATACAATGTTAGATTTAATCGAAACATTACAAAAGACACGACCAATTCACTTCTTCCTTGATTTCCATGGCCATACAGCTGCATGCAACAGCTTTGTTTATGGTTTCATGAATGAAGAAAATCCAGATTTGTATTCAACAGAAAGAGTTTTCCCTCTTTTGATGACAAAGCATACACCATTGTTCTCCAACGAGATGTGCAGCTTCCTCAAGCAGAAACAGTACGAAGGAACAATGAGAGTTGTCTTAAGAAGAAGATTCTTGATTTTGTTCGCATACACATTGGAAATGTCTTATGGTGGCTGCGATTTCGGACCAAGAAGAAACACACAGTTCACTATTCACGACTACAGAGAGATAGGAGATGCAACAGCTAAAGCAATCGCTGATTTATTGTTGTTGCCATCAAGTCTGGCAAGTAGAGAAGCAATGCTTTTGATGCCTCCACCTGATTTGAAACAAAACCAAACTCAGCAGGAAGATGTAAATGCAACTATCGAAATTAATGGAAAGGCTGATGAGAAGAAACCAAGTTTCTTCACATTCAAACCTGATGATATAAAGGTTGAAAAGCCAGAAGCGGTCAAACTTGTTTTGAATCAATACACAAAGGATATGTGATTATTATTTTTATTTTGTAATAAAAAAAGAATGTTTTAGCTAAAAAGTAAAATGAATTTAATTGCATGTATGATTTTGCTAAATAATTTATCTATAATCTAGTATCTTAAATGATTTTATACATGAATATGATATGATATTTCAATTCTCAATCTATAATTTCATCGAAGTTTGATGTGAAGGATATAAACGATTTTTATCGATTCTTATACAAATCGAAATTTGTTCATATCTGTTTTATATTTCATATAATGAACATTTAAAAAAAAAAAAAAAAAAAAAAAAAAAAGGGTAGTGGGGCTTCCAGGCACTTCGTGCCTTCTAGCCCTGAGGATGAATGAGTATAATGAAGTTTTTTTTTCTTGGGGGATGGCTTCCAGGCACTTCGTGCCTTCTAGCCCCCGAAGATGTTTAGTATAAATGAAGTTTTTATTCGGAGGGCTTCCAGGAGCTTTTCACAAATTATATATGTTTTCATGTTTTGTCAAGACTTCTTCGTAAATGTTTTGTCAAGACTTCTTCGTAATGTTTTGTCAAGACTTCTTCGTAAATGTTTTGTCAAGACTTCTTCGTAAATGTTTTGTCAAGACTTCTTCGTAAATGTTTTGTCAAGACTTCTTCGTAAATGTTTTGTCAAGACTTCTTCGTAAATGTTTTGTCAAGACTTCTTCGTAAATGTTTTGTCAAGACTTCTTCGTAAATGTTTTGTCAAGACTTCTTCGTAAATGTTTTGTCAAGACTTCTTCGTAAATGTTTTGTCAAGACTTCTTCGTAAAATCAGACAAAAATAATGTTTAGGGTAGAAGGTTAGATATAACCTCTTTTCTAACCTCTTTTCTACCCTCTTGAATTTTCAAGACTTCTTCGTCATAGGCACGGAGATAGGACGGTTATTTTACAAAACTGACAACACTTTGACCGAGTAGTTTTTTGTGCTGAACAAAAAGTGTCATATAAACATCTGTCAAAAACCGTTTTTTACTTCACTTAAAATGCCACGTAAGCTACGTAAGAATATACGTAAGAGGAAGGGAGCATTGAAACATCCAATAGTAAAACTAACACCACAACAACAGTTGCAACAACAAATTATGAATGACCCCACTATGTTGCAACAAATGTCAAGCAACCCTATGCTTTTAAACCGAGTTATTGGTGCCCAGAGTGGAGGTTTAAGAGCGGCACTTTTAGCGAAAATGGCAGGCTATGGTGGAGCTGCAGACGGAACAGCATATAACCCTCAAAGTCAAATGAATTTGAGTTCACTCAAAAATCAAATAACAGATGTCAAAAAGTCAAACATAGACATACAGAAACAAATAAGTGAAAACGAAAAGAAACTAGAATATGACAGACACACAAAGAAACTCAATGAGTTAAACGTAGAGAAAAAGAAGAAAGAAGAACAACTGAAAGAACTAAGTACAGAGGAATATGCGAAAAAAGTGTCAGAAAAAGCAGCAGAAGTAGCAAAATGGAACAAGATGTTATAAATTTGAAAAACCATACTACTCAATATAAAATACTGAAAGATGAAGAGATAAAACAAAAAGCCCTGAAGACATATATGGATAGCGATGAGTATAAAAAAGAAGTTGAAGCAAATGTAAAGGCAGAAAAACTTTTACAGTTGCAAAACCAAACCGTACAGTATGAAAACTTAGCACAAGAAAGTAAAAATAACGACGCGGCTATGCAAAAGGCAATGAAAAGCGCAGAATATATAAAAGCTAACAATGACTGGTTAGATGCCCAAGCCAACGCTAAAGCAGCCCAACTCATAGGGTCAATAAGGACAAAAATACAAGCGGATGAAGATAGTTCAAATGAAGCTTTAACAAATGCTGACTTTAAGAACGCTTTCGAAGCTCTTCATAGTAAGGTGAAACAAGTGAACGACTTCTCATCTGGAAAGAAACTGAAGTCTGAAGGTTTCGACAAAGAGTTAAAAGAAGTAGCACAAAATATGACGAAAATAACAGATGCAGCAACGAGACAGGCAGTTCAAAGTGCCTATGACGCCGTTAGAGCAACTGTTGTGAAAAGTCAAGAAAAAGAGTTACAACAGACCAAAACAGACCTAGTAAATGCTTTCTTAAAAACGAAAAGTCAGGTAGGACATTACGCTGCAGATGGAACATATGTGCCAGCTGGTGGAACTTATATACCACCAAACCCTCCAAGAGAAGCACCTGCACCAGGACTACCTAGAACATTTACATCGTCACATGGACACAGACACAGGCATGCACAACAACCACCTCCACAACCAGCACAACAACCAACACAACAACCAGCACAGCAACCAACAGTTCAAAACCCTGCACAACAACAACCACAAACAGAGCAAGGACATAAAAGAAGTAGAGAACAAGGAAACCAAGAATTCTTAAAAATGCTTAAAGAAGAGTGTGGTTTCCCAGATACTGTTGACTTTAGTGACAGATATAAAGAAGCTATTAGAAAGTTCAAGGATGGAAATACTGACCCGAACCTATTTAGCTTTATGGCTCAGCACCAAAACGGATATAATCTCAAACCTGGAAAATACAAGCTCGCTAAGGGATATGATTTAATAGCATATCATCCAAATGACATGGATGAATTTACTCCGAGATATTTGATGTCAGAGCTAAATGACAATTCAACTTTCGTCATGAAACGCGTAAAAAATAGAGACGGAACGAAAGAACAAAAGCTTATGAATGCGGATGACGTAGATAGGGAAATTGTTGAAAACGGTCTCGGAATATATGAAATGCCAGCAGATGAGGTACAAGAAACTCCACAGGAAGAAGTTCAGATACAACCAGACATGGAAGAAATAGTTCAGCAACAACAGCTAGAAGAGCCTGAAGGAAACGAACAAGTCCTTCCTTTGGAAACTAACTTCACAGAACTAGATGAAGATTTGGAACAGCCGAAAAATCTTGACCCTCAACAAGAGTATGCGGAGAATATGGAATATTTCCAAGAGTCTAAAAAAAATTCGGCTGACATAGTAGAAGAATATCGAAAAATGTTTGCCGACATACAAAAGACTCCAACATCAGATGAAAATATCCAGCATAGAATGGAAGAACTGAAAAAAAATGTACACAAATACAACAACCCTTTTTACTTACGAGCATTTAACGTTCAATCTTCGGATGAACTCGGTGAAAATAAAAGGTTAAATTTCAAGAAAACATATAGAAATGAAACATTGTTTAAAGTTCATTCAGAACCTAACCAAGATGGAAACAAACCTACTTTTGTTTCTGCAGACGATGGAACTACAATGAGATGGGGTCATAAAGCTAATCCGGATAGGTAGTTCATAAACTTACAACCACAATTCCAAGAAGTTGTAGACGCAATGGAAGTCAATGGTGAACCAGATATAGCTGGTATTTTCAGCGCGGCTTTAATGCCATTGAAAGATATGAAAGATGCAGATATTTTGGACCAGTATGAAATGAACATGGCTGATGGAAATATAACACCTGACGTTCTAGAACATTTATCTCAAAGAACTACACAGAACCATAAAGATGGTATATTTGGTGAAGAGTTTAGAAAGAAAGTTAGGGAGAGAGAAGGAAGAGAACCTATTGTACATGACCTTGCAAACGAAAGTTTACAAAATGTCATAAAAACTTACTTTGCAGACGATGAATCGAGAAGGGATGAATATTTAAGAAAACTCAAATGGACAGTACCAAATGAAATGTTAGTATTGAAAAACATGTTCCTTGACAAAATAAAACCAACTACAGAAATAAACGACGCAAGACTGAAAGATTGGGTAAAAGCTTTCCCATTCACAAAAGATATAGTTGGTAACATGGAAAGAAAACCAGAATGGCTACAAAAACATATATTTGGAAACGAGCATATTCCATATGGACAGGCACTGTTTGAAGAGTTGAACCGGAAACTCAGGAAAGAGTCATGCAAACAATACGCGAAGACTCAAATACAGACTATGACAAACTCTTTCTAGGATATAGGTTACCTGAGATGGGCGACCAGAGCCAAAAGGCAAAAAGGACATGGGAAATTTGCAACATACTAGATGAACATAATGCAAAGATGCAACAACTTCAAGCAGAGGGCAATGAAGGAAAAAGAAGAGTTAAAAACTCAGTCAGGAAGAAAGTAAAGCTTGGTCGGAGTGGGTTCTATTATGACATATAAATCCAACTATTCTATATTTTTACTCATATGAAATGTACGCCGCTCAGAATATAACGCCAACAGTTTTGGATGCCATGAATGGAAATGTTTCCGAATGGTATAACGAATGCGACAATGCCATTAGAAGGTCAGAAATAGTTCCTGGAACTTACGAATATACAACTGCTGTTTCTTATGGAAACGTAGGTGAGTTTGGAGAAGGTTCTTCAACAACAGTAGATATTGCTTGCGACAGGTTTCATATAATTTCTATTGACAACTCTTTCTTATACGTGGAACAAGACATTGAAATAAAACCTTCTGCCAAGTTGTCTGACAAGAAAGGTTGCAATGGAATTTTCTATGTCGGATACCAATATGCTCCAGAAGTTTTCATGGGATATAAGATATATTCTAACTCTGACTTAGTTCAAACAGTAACATGGGCAAACTATGAATGGTTCGCTTTAAGAAACTCAGTACAACCACAAGCTAGAGAACAAACAGACCAGTATGCAACTATTGAGAAAATAAGAAGACTTGACCCTAACGTTCCAGGAGTTTATGTTAACCTTTCTGGTTCAGATGGAAATGCTGTCACTAAAGTAAAACTGAAACTTAGAGTTCCTTTGTCATCTTTCCTCATCTTCAGGTTTTTAAGATACTTGCCAAACTGGGCAGGAAAAATTTCTATTGAACTTACTCCAAGCAAAAATAACTTAGTCATTGCACCAACACAAGACCCATTCACTATTACAGAAGTAGTGGGAACAAATAAAATGTCATTCGCCGACTTTTGCAAAGACAAAGTTGACTTAGACTTTGGTTTCTCAAACCTCAACACTGAAGTAAACTATTATTTCAATGCTGCTGGAACTGCTTGGGACCCAGTTAAGTTTACATGCGAAAAGTTTGAATGCAAGAGAATAGAAAGCAGACTTGCAGTCTATATGTTGGACCCAGATATTTCAAATGCTTTAGCTGCCAAATATATTGCAGTTCCACTTATGTTCCCTATACACCAAATATCTGTCAAAGACTTTGCAGGTGAAGTTGGAAACCAAAGTGCTGACCCAGGTGCAAGAACAGATATTGCTTTAACAACTGCAATGAAACATGCAGATACTATGTTTGTACTGTTCAGACGAACTATAAATGACTATTCTTGTTTCTACAACCCGGTATTAAATATCATATAAACATAGATGGCAAATATTATCCAAGAGAAGAATATTCTACAGTTGAGGATATGAGGTCATACAACTTGACATTAGATGCTATGAACTTTAACAACAACTTCACAACAACCATTAACCCTGAAATGCAAAGTTCTATTATGCCATATGTGAAAGTATGGACTCATACAGGAGGTCAAAAAACTCAATATACAAATGGAGACCGTTCAAACTTTTGGCTTGGCATTCCATTTGCTGACTCAGAAGACTTTATGGGTGGTATTTCAACTGTTGGTACAGTTCAAATACAATATACTGGTGACAGAGACGGTCCAGATGAACTGAGAGCAAAGAAGTTTACAAAACCAATAGCACTTTTCACAGAAGATGCTCTTTTGAAGATTCGTTCGATGAAACCTGCTGGGGCTCCTCAGATTGGCATAACGACAGCTTCCATCGAGCAGATTTTGGCAGCAGGTCAGTAAGTTGTTCTTGAACTGACTTCTCTCCGTCAAATATTGACAGTACGCCAGTTTTGACATAATATTGTAAGATAAACTTTCCTTTAGAAATATCTGTAAGTTTTTGTTGTTATATTTTTGTCTGCTTCAAGAACTTTCACCATCTCGGTTATACCAACTTTCTTTGCTTTATGAAAATATTTTGGTTCAGCAAAGACTCTATTCTATAACATTTTCCATTGTTTGTGTAAAGAACTATTCTGTCAATGAACTTGTATTGTTTGTGTGTGTAAACTTTGTTTTGCTTCAATTCGAAGAGATACTCAAATACGTCCATCTTTTTATTCTAAGTAAAATGTCATTTCCGAAAAATAGAAGCGTAAGTGTTTCAAAAGGTTTAATGGCGATGGCAGATGTGAAGTTAAATTCACCAACTCAAACAAACAGTCAAAGTGTTGTTGTCAATGTCAAAGAAAGAGATGTTGAAGTGGGGAAACCATACGAAGACGAAGATGGTATAACAATAGTTCCTGTAAAAGAACAACCAACATATCCTGAAGTTAGCAGAGACTTAAGTTCTGTTGCAGATATTCGAAATGACTACCAACAACTTAAAGACAAACTTAAAACTCAGGAGAAGATTTGTCAAGCTTTGGTATAATGTTAAACTTGGTTGAGCACAACCCTGTAAAAGTGAACTCATATGTCATCGCACCTCATGAAATTTTGAAAGAACTATTGAAACTTTTGACAGAGGCAGACGATATAAACATCAAAGAAATAGAACCCGACGTTAGTTGCTGTGGTGTTTCATATAATGTCATTGACAAGATATACGTTATGAAAGGAGGTGAAACGTTGAACTTAAAGTATAGTTTCCCAGACGTCATAAAAATATTTGACGACCACAACATTTCATTAAAATTTATTTGCTAAGTAAATGGCAGAAGACACAATGGTTTATACTATTACGACTAAAAACCCTGAGTCATATAATTCTATAACAACAAACTTACAAAGTCCTCAAGGACGATATTGTAAACTGACCTTAAACACGATGACGACTAAAGCCTGTTTTGCTCTTTTGACACCAGAAGATTTTATTGTTGTGAATGGTAAAAAATACTCCTTTGAAGATACTTACTCAGATATACCACCAACAGGTTTTGTTGACTTATTTAATACTTTAAGGACGGATGTAACATGTGCTGCAACTAGAGCAGGTTTCATTATGTTTGGATGTCCGACTGAGTTTACTATAAACGATATGAGCTATAATACAAAACTTATATCTGGTTTTTACTACCAACAGTTTCCTATAACAGGAAAAGGTGTCATACAAGGTTTGTCTGTTCCATTGACTTTAAGCACACCTATTTTATATATTGTTTTCAAACTTAGGTTCAAAGTGTTATTCGAATGTCGACAGAAACTACTATGACCAAAAGATACTCATGCGTATAAACAACACATTCTCTGCTGGTTTGCCTATTGTTCATTCGAATGCAGAGTTTTCAGCTTTAGTGAACTCAAACACTTTAGCAAACATAAACTTAACCTTAGTTGACGCAAACTTTGTTCCTGTAAAACTTTTATGTCCTATGTATTTGTCAATGACGGCAGAAAGTTTCGAATTGGAAGATGCAACTGGTGAAAGTATTGTACTACAAGAACAACTTCAACAACAAATAGCTCAAGAACAACAAATGCAACAAATGGAACAAATGCAACAACAAAGTCAAGAATAAAAAAAAATATTTTTTTTTATTTTTATAAAAATGTACAGAATAGATGTTTCAGATTTTTATGACTTCCAAGCCTTCAGAAATATGTGTCCATTTAGAGACTATAACAAAGCAGTCGAGAATTTGAAACGTTTAGTCATTTATGTCGACTCTGCCCAGAATGTTATGTCATGAAAGAATGGGATGTTGTCTTTAACAAACCAAGAGCAACAATAGTGTCTGAACAAGAATGTAGACAGAAACTTAAGAAAATAAAAGTCGTACAAGTTGGCATGAAGATGTTAGATGCTTGGGATATCTTATTGTCAAAGTTAGAAGATTTTCAGTTCGAGGTATAAAGTTCTATACACCTTCTCCAAACTTCTATTCTATCTTCACTGGATATAAATACGAACAAGTAGAATGGAAAGAAAATATTATAGAAGCTTGGTTAGACCATGTCAAAGAAATTATATGCAATGGAAACGAAAGAGTCTATGAGTATATCTTATGTTGGTTTGCAAACATCTTACAACATCCAAGTGCTAAAAATGAAACTGCTCTCATTAAATTGGAAAACAAGGAACTGGTAAGAACACATTCTTTACAGATATCTTATGCAAACTGTTAGAAGGTTATTCGAATCCGAATATGACAAACTTAGAAAACATCTGTGGCAAGTTTAACTCCTCAATAGAGAATATGAAACTTATAGTTTGCAATGAACTTCAAAGTATAGATACAACAAAAGTTTTGAACTCAGATGCTTTGAAGAGTCTTATAACAGACAAAGTTGGAGTTGTTGAAAGAAAGTATAAAGACCAAAGAGTTTGTGAAAATGTTGCAAACTTCATTATGGTTTCAAACAATGTTGTTCCGATGAAGTTAGAAAGTTCTGACAGAAGATATGTAGTTGTCAGAACGTCAGATTCTCATATGCAAGATACAGAATATTTTGACGACTTAGCAGAAACTTTGACATCTGACTTTTACAACCACTTGTTCTCATATTTCATGACATTAGATATTTCAAAGTTCAATCCAAGACAAATTCCACATACCGAAGAAAGACAAACATTGTTAGAAGCAAACAAGAGTGTATATGAACTGTTTATAGATGAGACTAACTTTGAGTGTTTAGATGAAAGGTCATTGTACGATTCGTATAAACAGTATTGTCAAGAGTATGGTTATATGGCAGCGTCTAAACGTACATTCTTGGCAAATGTCAAAAGTCTTTTAGATGTTCAGAATGGCGTATATACAAAGAAAAATTTTTCTGAGTAAATTTAAAAAAAATATTTTTTTATCCGATAGAAAAGATGACGAAATATATTTCAGTCAACAAATATATGTCAGGACTTAAAGAAGAACTAGACCCATTCATATATTTGAATGTTTACTTCTACCATTTTGAAAAGTCTACATTTGACAAAGTTTGGAACATCGAACCAGTTAAGTTTGCTATTGTGACTAAAAATGGTGCGAAATTTGAAGACTTAGACATAGAAGGTTTGTTAACAGTCAAGGAAAATTTTGACAGAAGGTTTTCAAACCTTAAAGAAGGCAAAGCATACAAACTTGTTATACCTTATGAACCAAAGAAAGCAGACGACTATGAATATTATGAGTCTAAGATAGTTGAAGTTCAAGGTAAATTGGGTAAAAAGATTTTAGAGTCTAAGCCAGTGTTTGCTCCTAAAGAGGAAGAGAACATTGACATTGACCCAGAAATGTTCTAAAAATAAAATTTTATTTTTACATGTCATATCTCCCCTTCTCTGGAACTGGTTCAGGTTCTTTCTTCTCTTCTTCTACTTTCTTTTCTTTCTTTTCTCTCTTCTTCTTCTTCTTCTCTGGTGGAGTTATGTCAAATTTGGCGCAACCATATTTATGTAAAAGTTCTTTGTCCTTTAATAGCTCTTCTATTCTGTTTTCTATTTCATCTTCAAGAACAGCGCATGTGTCTTCTTTGCATTCTAAGAAGTTTTGTTGGACTTCATCTTTCCAAGAGGCGTCATCTCTGTCAACAAGTCTGTCATTGACAAATTTTAAGACTTCTCTGCCTAATGTTTTATGGTTCTTGTCATATTCCCAGAAACAGAACTTTAGAACAAATTCACCTTTCTTGTTTACACTATGTAAGATTTTATGGTCGACAGATGTTTTGCTGTCGAAAAGCTTGTCTCGAATATAGATAGCGAAATCGCTAGACATTTTCAAAAAGATAAAAATTTTAATTTTTCTAAAAATATGTTAGAAAAAAAGTTTGCTGACATTGACAAAAAATTTGAGAATGTTTTAAATAAGAACAAGAGGAAATTGGAAAATGCTCAGATAAAACCCATACATGACAAGTTCTTATTTGCTCAGAATGGTATAACAGGTCTAATTGCACCGCCTGGGTCGGGTAAGACTTTCACTTATCTTAAAATGGCTGCACAACAACAAGAACTAGATGAGAAGAACCCATTCTATGAGTTAGTTGTTATTTGTAGTACTTCTGGTCAATTTGACCAAACCGTCAATTCGTTCAAAGATATTATAAAAAAGTCTAAGTTAGTATGTATAAAAGACTCTGAGTTGTTAGATTGGATAAAGAAGTACCAAAGAAGAGTTTTGAAGTACAATGCTATAAATGAGTATGTCAATTCGAAGTTTAAAGACCCAAATGAGGAAATGCAGAGAATATTAGAGAAGAAACACTTCAGAAACAAACAGAAAGAGATAGAATACATTTCGAAGAAATTGCAATCTTACGATTGGAAGACTTACCCTCACAGATGTCTTCTTATCTTAGATGACTTTGCATCTCATCCTTTGTTAAAGAATAGAGAACAAGACATGTGTCGAATTCTTAAGAAGCTCAGACACTTTAACATTTCAGTTGTCATTTGTGTACAGACAGCAAAGAGTTTAAGTAAGGATGTAAAGAGAATACTTACTGACATTGTACTTTTCCCCGGATTGTCCGAAGACGATTTCATGGAACTTATGAAAGAGTCCATGGCAGGTAAGTTTGACAGACATGAACTTTGGGAGAAGTACAAAGTCATACAAGACCCTCATACTTCTTTCAGAATTCATATCTACGCAAACAAAGTTCAAATTGTAAAAAGTCAAGCTTGAAAAATGTAAGTGTTTAGTCTTAGTAAGTCTGTTGTGGTGCTGGGGCTGTCGGTTCTTCTGGCTTTGGAAGGCATTCAGGAAGAGGAACGTGAGACATTCGTTTGTGTCCTGTCGGAAGGAAGAACTTTTCCTGTCGTCGGGAAAATTTTTTCTTGTCGGAAGGAAATTTTTTTCCAGTTGTCGGGAAATTTTTTTCTTGTCGGATGGAAGGACTCGGAATGTCGGATGGAAGGACTCGGAATGCCAGAAGGATTTGACGAGGCAATTTACTTTATAGAGCTACCTGAGCCATCTGAAGTCAAGCTTGAAAAATAAAGAGTGCAATTTACTCTGCTTGTTTGAAGTTGTCAAAATACTCTGTTATTTTTTCCTTTAACAATGGCAAATCTTCTTTGAATGTAAGTATTGTACAACCTTTCATATCATAGTGTGTTTGAGGTAAAGTATCTTGAACTATTTGTTTCACATCTTCATTCGGTGTCATTGAAATCGGTAAGTTTTCGCGATAGAACCAATTTCTGTCAGATTTGTAAATCTTAGCAAGGTCGTAAAAGCTTTTGTTGTTTCTTCTGACTAAATGCAACATAACCATATCTTTATCTTCTTCATTTTCCATCTCTTCAGTATAAATCATATACTTATAGTTCTTTTCCTTTCCTTTTGGTACCGAACGTGGTATTCTTTTCTGAATGCTTTTGTCTTCTTTCATCATATCTTCTCTCTGCTTTGTACAAAGTTCGTCAAGTAGCATAAGTATGTAGATTGCATAACGAGGTGAAGCCCACATTGCTATTGAACTAACTAGGAACTTATGAACATATATACCTTTTAGATGTGATGGTAAGTTTTGTCTGTCTTGGTACATCTTTTTAAGTTCTTCATGTTCAAACTCACTGAGGAGTTCATGAGTGCTATTTAATTCAAACCAGTCGTCTGCGTGTTTAGTGTCTGGAGCAAAACAAGCCGTCAAAATACTTTGCATTTGGTACATATCGTCTTTGACCGAACGAATGAGACGGAGTTGTTTGTTAAACTGTATGTACTCATATTCTTCATTTATAGCTTCATGGACTATAACTGTTGTTGTGTTCTCTGTTGTTGACATATCTGTCTTTACATACAAAATAAAAAAATAAATAAAAATAAAACTAACTTTATTTTTTTTTAAGTTTGGTCATCTTTCACGGTATGACAAATATACTATATTTTACTTAAAAATATGCAAGCGGCTCATAGCTCAGTGGTATGGGCTACCTCGTTAAAGGCGTCGAAGACCTCGGTTCAAATCCCGATTCGCGCAGGTTTTTTTCCTTTTATGCAGTGAAATTTCATGTACATAGGTTACTTTGGTGTTAGACCCTAGTGAAGAAAATAGAACGATATAAGTTTACATTTGTAAAGTTGGACGATAAAAATCTCTGCTACTGTCAGTAAAAGTACTGCTACTGTCAGTAAAAGTACTGCTACTGTCAGTAAAAAGTACTGCTAATGTCAGTAAAAAGGAAAATTTGAGAGGGTTTTCGACGATAAAGTACTGCTACTGTCAGTAAAAGTACTGCTACTGTCAGTAAAAGTACTGCTACTGTCAGAAAAAGTACTGCTACTGTCAGTAAAAGTACTGCTACTGTCAGAAAAAGTACTGCTACTGTCAGTAAAAGTACTGCTACTGACAGTAGCAGTACTGCTAGGAGCAGAGATTTTTATCGTTGTGGTCCGACGGTTAAGCCACCAACGAATGTCCCACGTCCCACCAACCGAGTCCATTCCCAAACCAGAAGAACCGAAAGCTGCAGAACCACAACAGTCTCCTCAGCAACCTCAGTTCCAGCAATTCCAATCTCAATCCAAATTACTACCAATTTCCACCTCAAGGTTACTACCCACCACAAGGCTTCCCGAACAACCCTCCTCAGCCTATGCCTTACTGCCCCAACCCTTGGTTGTTCCAGCAATTCCAATCTCAATCCAAATTCCAATCTCAATCCAAATCGAAGAGAGACCAAGAGTTCGAAGAAGGTCTGAACCGTTTACGCAAAGAGTATGCCACAGCTCCAATTGAGAGAAAGTTGTTCCCGGACCAAAAAATAATGTTTAGGGTAGAATGGTAGATCTACCCTCTTTTCTACCCTCTTTTCTACCCTCATGAATTTTCATGATTTCATCGTACATGTTTTGTCAAGACTTCTTCGTAAATGTTTTGTCAAGACTTCTTCGTATATGTTTTGTCAAGACTTCTTCGTAAATGTTTTGTCAAAACTTCTTCGTAATGAGCGTAAATGACCCAAAAATAATGTTTAGGGTAGAATGGTAGATCTAACCCGATATCTAACCTCTTTTCTACCCTCTTGAATTTTCATGATTTCTTCTTCGTAATGAGCGTAAATCAGACAAAAATAATGTTTAGGGTAGAATGTTAGATCTAACATGTTTTCTAACATGTTTTCTAACATGGTCTAAAACATACAAAACTCATGAAATTTCATACGGAATTCAATAAAAATAATGTTTATGTTAGAATGTTAGATCTAACATGTTTTCTAACATGTTTTCTAACATGGTCTAAAACATACAAAACTCATGAAATTTCATACGGAATTCAATAAAAATAATGTTTATGTTAGAATGTTAGATCTAACATGTTTTCTAACATGTTTTCTAACATAACTATTTACAAGCGTTTTACATGGTATATGTTGCGATGGTTCATGACTCTAAACAATTTCGTAGCTTCTATTTCTTCTTTTAGTATGTCAAAAGTTTTAACGATACCGAAGGTTTCTTTATATTTCTTCTTGACGTCAGATAGAAGGAAATCGTCAGCAGTTGGATAGTTTTTGTTCAGAAATTCTAACATGTTCATTTTATCTTCTGCTGGTTTTTCTGCTTCTTTCTTTAAATCTGCATAGTCGTTTCGCATACGTTCTATCTCTTTGACGGAGTAGTTATATTTCCTCATTGCTGCTTTACATTTTGAACATTGCGGGTTCATTTTTGCGTTATATTCTGAAACCTTACCTGCTAGTATGACTAAGGCGTCAATTGCTCTCTTTAACTCAAAAGTTGCGGGTTTTATCTGTTCATTCCATATCTTACCTCTTCTATCTTTATCTCTTATCTGCCAAACACATTTTGCAACTAACGAAACAAAGTTGTCGTAGGTCTTAAACTCCCCAGATTTGTATATGTCAGAGATGTTCTTATATACCATATCGCAATCTTTGTCCATGACTTTGTGGTTGCAATGAAATCCAAGAAACTCATAGTTAACCTTTCGTATGAACTTCTTTATTTCTACTGAGTCAGTCAGTCCGACTTCTATTTCGTCAAATTCGGGAATGGTTAGTTTTTGTTGTTGGATTTCAGGCAATTTGGGTAAATGGTCAATAATGTCCTGCATTTCATAAAGATACTGTTCATTTGTTTCATCTTTCGCACTACAGTCTAAATTACTTGTTAAAAGTTCTTGCTTTATCTTCTGGATTTCTGTTTCGAAAGTATATGAAGAAGGAATGAAGCTTTTCATCTCTACTAACATTGAAGTTGGGTTCATGACTAACGAGTTTGGTGCTGTTGTTGCTAACATGTTCTTACAATAAAAATAAAAAAATATTTTTTTAAAAAAACTAACTTTATTTTTTATGTTTTTTGTGAAAGTGTCAAAATTCATGAATTTCGAGAGTTTTCTACGATGTTAGAAAAGAGGTTAGAAAAGAGGTTAGATCTAACATTCTAACATAAACATTATTTTTGGGTCTTTTACGCTCATTACGAAGAAGTCTTGACAAAACATTTACGAAGAAGTCTTGACAAAACATTTACGATGAAGTCTTGACAAAACATTTACGAAGAAGTCTTGACAAAACATTTACGAAGAAGTCTTGACAAAACATTTACGAAGAAGTCTTGACAAAACATTTACGAAGAAGTCTTGACAAAACATTTACGAAGAAGTCTTGACAAAACATTTACGAAGAAGTCTTGACAAAACATTTACGAAGAAGTCTTGACAAAACATTTACGAAGAAGTCTTGACAAACATTTACGAAGAAGTCTTGACAAAACATTTACGAAGAAGTTTGACAAAACATTTACGAAGAAGTCTTGACAAAACATTTACGAAGAAGTCTTGACAAATTCAAGAGTTTTAGACCATGTTAGAAAACATGTTAGAAAACATGTTAGATCTAACATTCTAACATAAACATTATTTTTGTCGAAAAAAATGGTTCATTTACTCACAATATTTTTGTACAAAACAACCCCAAGCTTTTAACCTCTCTTCTGCAGCTTCTAATGCTATCTTAGCGAGTTCATATTCTCTAAATTCTCTCTTTAAATCTTCTTGTTCCCATTGGTCTAGTTCGTATGGCGAGTCTCTATAACCAGAACATATCTCACGTTCATGTTCTATTTGTTTTTTCATGCATTTTTCTAACTTCTTCTTCGAACAAAGGTTTTGCATTCTCTACTGTATCTTCAAGTTCTTCTTCATCTAATTTCTCATGAACTTTCTTGTCTATGGAGTCCATAATTTTTCCAACTGCTATGCAATATTTTGGAGAAGCCCACATTGCTATATAGTTTACAAGTCTTGGGTCTACATACATTCCTCTAACCTGTTTGATTTCATCAGGAATTCCTGCATGAATTTTGTATAAAAAGCAACCCGCTGTTTTCCGCGGGTTGGTATATTCTTCACAAAATGCCTCAAAATACTCTTCCCAGGACTTATTTTCCAACAACCTTCTAAAGTCCTTCCTAAACTGCTGACACATATTTGTTGCATTTATATAACCATCCTTGTCTCTACGTAAAGACTTCAATACCGTTGTAAGTGCCTTTTGTGAATGTTTCGCCATTAGATTTGTTCGTGAACGTTTTTGCTTCGACTGACATTTCTGTTCTTACAATAAAAATAAAAAATATTTTTTGGTGGGACGTCGGACATTCGTTTGTGCTTAACCGTCGGACCACAACGATAAAAAATCTCGACAAAACATATACGATGAAGTCTCAACAAAACATTTTACGATGAAGTCTTAACAAAAAATATACGATGAAATCTATTTCCTGTGTTGTTGTCAAAAATGTCATGTTGTCACACTTTTTTCAAAAAGATGTTAGTTGACCGAGTGACCGAGTGACCGAGTGACCTGGTCGCCTAAAATATATTTTTTTTCTATCTTAAGGAAATTCATGAAAATTCACCTGTTGAATTTTGTATAAAAAGCAACCCGCTGTTTTCCGCGGGTTGGTATATTCTTCACAAAATGCTTGTTTTGAGGTCGAGCCACTTTTTGGCTCCACCTCTTTTTTCAACCAAAAACTCATTTTTGTCGAATTCAGCACAAAATTCATGAAAATTCAACGGGTGAGAAAACAGGTGAGAAAAGAGGTGAGAAAAACGGGTGAGATGTCACCTCTTCACCTAAAACATTATTTTTCAATACTTTTTCAGCACTTTTCCGTAGTTATATATGAAAGACAATTCGAGATAAAAGTCATAGTACAATGGAATAATATGTTGCACACACATTTGTTGTGAACCAAACTTGAAAGTCAGAGAAACTGTTACTAGGTGGTTCGTAGAATTTAGAAGCAAAGTCATAAAAGTCCTTACCAATACATAGAAAACTATTGTTGCTTGAACTGAAACTTGCATGACACATAACATTTTGAGGGTCAAACACGTTTTTATAAACTGTCAAATCTGTTGGTGGGCGTATAAATTTAAACGGACCGTCAGGTGGTAATGGTTCGTTCTGGTTTAGTAACCGAAGAAATTGTGCCCAAGAACGTTTGTCTACCTCCCAAAATAAAAACTGTGTATCTCTTGGAGGGTTAATTTCAATCCTTTGAAATGAAACGGTGGAGTTCATCTTGTCATATTCTAGTTTCAGATAGTATGTTCCATTTAGTAAAGAATCGTATTTTTCTTGAAATTCCCAGTAGTATTTGTTTATTTGAGTTTGAAAGTCATTTAGAGTCTTCTCAAGGTTTTCGTCTGAACGAACTGTAAAGATTCTCATTTCGTCAAATTTGTCTATTAGACCATCAGAACCTCTATACTGACCATGAAAATATACTGCAAACATAAAAGCGTTAGTTCTATTTGAAAACAAAACTCTTCTAAATCCTATTGCCTTTGCATCTGAAGGACTTTGAAGCCAACGAATTGGATAGTCAAACCTGTAAGTACGGGATGAAATTTCTTCATCTGATATAGTCCTACCGGCGTTTGTAAAGATATAGTCTAACGGTTTTGTATCTACTACTTTTGTTCTTTGTTTTTCAACCTGAAACATTTAATATATGTAAAAATATACTGTTTTAAAAAATGTTTTAAAATGGTATGCCATATAGCTTCTTGAATTTGTTAAGATATAGTCTAACGTATTTTCCATCTGTATCTCTAGCGTTTACATAAGCATAGCCCGCCTTAGTAAAACATACTTGTAATTTTCTATAGTTTACGCCGGTATAAAAGTAGAAAGAGTCTTGTTCTTCGCTATAGTAGTAAAACTCCAACGTATGCTTACCATAGTCTGTAATTTCAATTGCTTCATCTTCTAGTTCGTCGACAAATTCGAATACAATATCTCCAATTTTGCCTATGTTCTTATTGTTTTCAGAACGAGTGACCCAGCGTAAGTTTTCAAGTCTATTGTCGTTTCTTATACGGTTTATATGGTCTACAAGAGGTAGATTGTTAGGGTTCGGTATAAAATGAGTTGCAATGACAACATGTTTAAAATAGTGTTTTCCACCCATCTTCATAATAGCATATCCGTATTTTTGCTCCCATTCGCTTAAAACTCTTTTTGTCTTTTTGTTTCTGACTTCAAATGACTCACAACAGTGAATTTCATATTTCTCATCTAACAAACAAGTTTCCCAACGGTCTGTTCCAACAAACTCGGCGTACATTTCAAATAAAATAAAAAAAATATTTTTTTGAAAAATATACTGTTTTCTTTTACTTTACATAACCTCCTGCTACCAGAAGCCTTTGACGCCAACCCATACCAGCTAATGAAGGTTGACTTGGTTTAGTTTGGA